CTGCTAACGCTAACTATGACAACCTTAACCCCTACCCTGCTAACGCTAACTATGACAACCTTAACCCCTACCCTGCCCTAACCATAACAATAAGTAACCAAACAAAATACAAGAGTTTTTGCATTTTTAGTTTTTTCATAGCAGTCACCGATTTTTATAAAATAGAGTTTTCCCTTATGGGGACCAGGAAACCGGTCCCCATAGGGGGAAAAAAACAGATATTTATCACGTTATGGGGACATTGTGTCCCCATAAGGATAGGTAAACCCGCTCGCACACATACACACACACACACACACACACACACACACACACACACACGTACACATACAGGCTTATCATTAATTTCAATGTGATTAATGATTTCTCAACAAAGATAACGTTGTTTTAAAAATCAAACAGCATAGCCCAAACACATACAAATGCACAAATATGCATGCAAATGAACGTAGACACACAAAGCCACACGCAAATGCATGCAGACGCACTCAGACACACGCAGATGCACACAGACACACGCAGATTCACAAAGACAAACGCCGATGCAAACAGACACATGCAGATGGACGCAGACGCACAAGTGATACAGATTACAGATCCAGGCAGTAACTGCTCACACTGCAGTCTGACTGACCTGGTCCAGCAGGTTAAGCCGTGTGACGTATGCCTTCTCCGTCTGCAGCAGCTCATTGGCTATGTTGTACAGCTTCTGCGCATTGGTCTCCTTGGTGGGGTGTCGGGGGGTGGGGGGGGGGGGGGGGGGGGTGTAACCACATGGCAGTGTCAGTCTCGTTACTCAGTAAATAATCTACAGCTGTCCCTGTTCATGCGCATCCTACCAACACCATGAGCCTCCTACACAGGGGTGTCGCTAAGGGGGAGTGGGTGTCCCAATATGATTTGCTTTCATGGGGCCCAAAATCTCTAGTGGCACCCCCGCTCCTCCTTCGGGGCTTGATATTAGTCGCAGTGTTTTCCTGCCCCCCCCTTCCTGTGGTCCCTGTGACTCGGCTCGGTCCGAGGGCACGTTCAGAGCAGGGAAACCTCTGCATTCCTGGAAACTCACCGGCTGTTCGTGTAGCCTGGCAATGTCACCGCAGCCACACACATGCAGACCATTTCCTCTTTCGCTCTCTCGTTTCCTGAAGCCCGAGTCCCATCCACACTAGGAAGCCGGTTCCCTGCCTAAACCAGTGCCCAGGACACTGGGCAAGCTTTAGCTAACCCTCTCATGCAACGGGGTCGGGGGAGGGGCGAACACGTGCGGCTATCGATCAACACACACCTAGCAGACCTTCCCGGTCACACAGCCGTGGCCGGCACAGGATGTCTGCTTGCCTAAACACCGTGTGAAACCCTGAATGGGGACATCGGGTGTAAATGAAGAAGTTATAGTGAAAGATTGCGGAACCAGGCGAAAATGCCAACGGGAACGAGGAGAGCAGCTTACTGCATGTGAGGTCCACAACAAAAGTGCCATTGGGTATCTCCTACAATTGCCTGTGCAAAACTGACGTCAATCATCTTCAGGTCAGTGGTCCCTAACCCCCTTACCTGTGGTGACTCCTTCCTGGGCTCCTTCAGACTGGCTCCCCCGTGATGCTCTTCTCCCTCTGTCCTCTCCGTCACGCCTTGCCCTGACAGTACATCCCCGTTGAGCATCTTGTCTGTGCCGGTGTCCGTCTCCTCCGTCCCGTCGACGGGCGACGTCTTTCCGGCAACCCTGTCCATCTGGATCAGTGTCCCGTTGGCCGGTTGCATCTCTCCATCGCGCCCAAGGTTCTGGGCCACCGAGTCGCCCTGCCGGGACTCCTGTGCTCTCTGCGCGGTCCTGTGGGCCGGGCTGCTTCGGGGAGCCCTGCTCTTCAGCAGGGAGGCATCCTTCAGCTCGGTGTGGCTGCGGGGCAAACAGAAGGGTCCAATGGGTACACGGCGGTACCGAAGGACCCCGAGATCGCTTACATGGTAGAGGAATGCAGCGGCGTGATGGCTCAGGCTGATTTCCTGTGCTCTGTGAGCAGGTCTGTGTTTGGGGAGGAAGTGTGTGTGCGTGTGTGTGTGTGTCTGTGTGTATGTGCATGCGTGAGTCTATGTCTGTGTGTCTGTGTGCGTTGTTGTACTATTACATTGTGGGACCAGATTTCCCCACCGTGTGATAAAAACTTTTTACCTTCTGGCAACGTGATTTTGGTCCCCACAAGGATAACCTCAGTTTTATAAAAATCTGAGACTGCAATGAAAAACCTAAAATGCCTAAAGTCTTGTGTTTTGTTTGGTTACTTATGGTTAAAGTTGGGGCTGGGAAAGGTTTAAGGTTCTCATTGCTGGGATTAGGGTTATGCCCATAGAAATGAATGGAGAGTCCCCACAAAGATATGAATACACATGTGTCTGTACTTAATGAATATGGAAGGGAAGGTGGCAACTGATGGAGCAGATAAACACTGGAGGGTGTCTGTGGCACAGGAACAAGAAAAAAACTACCTACGCGGCCCCCCGGTGTGGGGGCTGAATGGAATATGTTTTTTTTTCCCCCGGAAGGCAAAGTACGCTGCCCTTTAAGACACTAATTCTGCACAAACAGGAAAGGCAAGTTACACACGCGCTGCGATCACATGACACGGTGCCCCATCTGTAATGCGCCTCTGCTCGCAAGTCACACGAAGGACATCAGACAAGTCACATTCAGACTGCTATGTGACGTCTCTGTGCTACAATTTTCACACGTTTATCGATGGATTACTCATTGTGGCTGAGTTTGAGGAAATCTATTAAAAAAGTTAATAAAAGCCTGTTTGCAGGATGTAGATCTAGAGGAAGCGGGGGGGGGGGGGGGGGGGACAGTTAACAAAAATCTGCTTTATTCCAACATATTTGCTGTATACATCAGGAGAGCCATAACCCTAATTTAGAGAAAACAACCAGAGGATTGTGCTGCATGTTTCTTACATTCAGAAGCAGAACCTCATATTAGAATCCACCTGTCCAACGTTTTACAGGACAGAATTTTCCATTGTGCAAAGAAATGTCCAGAAATATGTGTGACTGCTTAGAATTTTGCATCAGCTGGTTCGTTATTCCGGGATTTACAAACGCTGACAAAGCTATGGTGGCTCTTGCCTTATCATCCACGGTGACTAACGCTCTCTGCACATTAGCCCCGATCCTCTCCTGTCCCACAATGCCGAGCGGAATTACAGCCCGTCATTGTGTTGGATGTGAAGAGACTTGTGATTATCACCACCACGAATAATCAAGCTCATCATTTCTAAAGACCGGTTTCCAATTGCTGCGCCAAAAGAGCAGATGACCCCATGCTAAATGAGAGCAGCGGAATTTGAGGCTTTAAAGCAGGGGTGGGGGACCAGTTCCATAGAGAGCTGCTGTGGATGCGGGTTTTTGCGATGACCTCTCAATCAGCCAATAATAAAGCAGTAGTTCTCCAGTCCTGGGGACCCACTGTGATTGGTTGATTGAGAGGCCATCCCAAAAACCCACACCGGTCCTCCATGGAACAATTTCCCCACCCCTGCTTCAAAAGGACACGATTGTTTCACTTTACTCCAGAACCAGGGCTCGGGTCTCTCAGTGGCGGTTCTGCCTCCCAGGCCCGATAGCCGGCCGAGGCCCGTACCTGTTCTCTTCGAATTGGCTGATGAGGTTCGACACCTTTGAGGGCTTCTCCCGGACCCTGCCTGCAGCCGGCCGTCCCACCCCCTCCTCCATCCTGGGTCCGAGGGAGTTCACCTGAGCCAGGGGTGAGCGTGACTCTGTCGCGGGGCTCTGGAGGTGCGGCGGCTTAGGGGGCACTGCGGTGGGGGGATTGGGGCAGATGATCCAAGCCATCTGTAGTGACAACTACACTACACTGACCAAATGCAAACACTTCAACAACATTACAGCATCATAGACCCACAGGGTCAGCTTCCTGCTCTACTTGTATATTTTCCACTAACTCAGGGATCTGGTATGGGGGCTTTAATTACCCACCCCCCCGCCAAAACTGATCATGGTATCTTCACTGTGATGTTGTTAATCTCAACTTGCAAGCCAAACAACACCTTCATCCTTGAGACACTAACTATTTGAACTAGAACAACAATGATACACATTACCTTACCCAGTGCCCACGGGCTGCTTTGTGGGTTCCTCTGAGGTAAAATCAGGTAGGTGTTTCAGAGCAAAACCACGTAGTGTGGCATCTGAACCTTCATTTCACAAACAGCTACTGTAAAATGTACTCAGATGGCGGCATGTAACTGTATGGGCTGACCAGCAGGTGGCAGCAGAGGCTATGCGCTACTGAGGTCCCACAGTGACGTCACTGGGCATACAGTCACATACCTGGTGGCTTGTGAGGCAGATGCGGCCGAAATGCTGAGCTTTTCCCATTTACACTGCGGTGACTCTTATAGGTCCCAGGTGCCTGGAGAGCCGTCCCGCCCGGGGAGGGGTTGCCGTAACTGCTGCCGTGAGCTGCAACAAACCAAGCCGGTCATGGATATGGAGATTTCACCACATATAAGCGAAGTGAGTAAACATACAGTCACACGCCTCTGGTGTGGCTCACGGCTTTATATCAATGGCATCATCTGTGAGCCTCGCCAGTGCTAATGTCGAGTTAGACTTCAGGTGGCAGCCGGCGTTGATCGGCATTTTGTTTTATTCCAAAGTACTGAAAATGAAAGCGATCGTGTAATTCAGTGTTTCTCAAGCCAGTCCTTCAGGAACCCCAGACAGTCCACATTTTACTCCCTCCCGGCTCCCCGCCAATCAGAAACACCAAATACCTGGAAACAGATGTGCTGACAGCTGGGAGGGTGCAAAAATGTGCACTGTCTACGGGGGACAGGGCTGAGAAACACTGCTGTAATTTATATATTTTAGCACCTAAATCATCAGCATTACTGTACTGGCGCCAAATACACAGGCCACAGCGCAGAAACCTGCTTGCACTGGCATATGACAAAATCCCCTCGGTAGATCACAGTGCCCACCCCCCTCCCCCCTCAAGCGAAAAACAGACCCTCAGATCTCCAGCTAACTTGTGGGCGGCATCCCAGACAGTTTGGAAATTCTGAGATCCTCCGACCGGCACGAAAGCGCACCTGAGGAAGCCAGCTCGGATTCGGAAAAGCGGTAACCATGGCAACAGCCTTTCATCTCCCTAAGCGCCGAGCAAACGGTGGTGTGATAGGGGAGCGGGAATCTGGTTAGAGGCGTGTCATTGGCGTGTCTAGTGTCATTAACATTATACTCGGATTTTCATTACTGGAATTGCATTTTTACTGGAGACCTGGAGATCACAATTACCTAACGGAGTTGTAAATTAAAGCCGTAATCTAGAAATCACGAGAAGAAAAAAAAAACGCAGCCAACACAAAAGTCTTATCTCTTAACGTGTCCCAGCATGTCAGCCTTAAGCTAAAGCATCGCAGGTCCTCCAGACGAAATACATGGATAGCATATCATGCTAATAACGAACGCAGACAAAAAGCAAACACAATCAGTAACAACGCTACGCATGTGGTTCTCCTTCAACGTCCTCCAAGCCTCAGATATCCCTCCAAGCCTCCCTGCCCTCTGCCCACAAAGGATCTCCACAGACAGCACCACTACTTTGCTACTGTTGTGAAGTTCTGCTTCATTAAACAGGTCAAGAATTAAGAGATTCGCCTTGAATATCCCTGCGATGGCCTTTGGCCAACACCAAAACATAGATCCCGATGCAACAAACACACGCACACGCACATGCCTGTCACTATTCCATTTATGCTTTGCAGGGCTTGCACCATCTCAGGACAGACAGTGGTGCAGTGTGTGTAAGTGTGGATATGAGTGTTTGACAGTGTTCAGTGCTGTTGTGCCAGTGCTCACACAAGTACCTTAGGTCCACCTGCTCCTGGTTTGGCTACTTGACAACTGACACGTAAAGTATTAAAGTTTCCCTGACTGACGCAGCCCTAAGCAGGCTAGTAAGACACAGAAGACAGCAACAGAGACTCCGTTTGTCAGGTAACAGTCAAACGATCCGCATTGACCCGGATCTGCTGAGCTCACATCAGCCCCTGGCAACGGGGCATTAAAAAGACAAGTGTGGGCAAAGGAGCGAGAAAGAATACCTGAACACAGCCAAACCTCAGAGTGACACTACTCAACGTACGCTTCCAGAAACACCCAGAAACCAGGATCGTAGCTTCGCCACGAAGCAGGAGAGCAGGAATGTTGAGGCCCCAGGGGGGGGATCCCCGGTGGCCCGTTGCCGTGGAAGCGTGGCGTTGGGAGACTATCGAGCGTCCCGTTCGTTCCCAGAGCCCTCGGTGAGAGTTCTGCGCAAGCCCCGTTTTGGGAAATACTCCCTCTGAATGTTTACGTGTGTGCGTCCACACACACCCCAGGTGTGTGCGTGTGTGTATAAACATCACATGCACGGGAACACAGCAATAACACGAGGAAGGAGGGGGGCCGTGGTGGAAGAGAGGCTACTTCTCACACCATGGACACGAGTGAAGATGTTGTTTGTGCGCCTTGACCTGCCCGATAGACACAAAGACAGGCCAGAAAAACAGAAAGTCAAGCTCAAAGTGAAGCTCCACTCTCCAACGCCCCCTTGTAGCATTTTTGGTTCACCCCGGGTTATACAAAGCAGCCCAAATTAGATGGGAATATGAACCGATTCCTAAGGGAACGACGCTGAATTGTATCCAGGGACCTGTTACGAAATAAAAACACGGCACGGGACGTTATGTAAGAACACAGCAAAACGCAGAAAGACCAGCCCACAACAACAAAAGACACAGCAGTGAAGTGTTTACTGGATTCCAGACACCGGTCATCCTAACTGCATTTGTGCCATTTCCATAAAACAGGGGTGCTCGCGATATCGCCCAGCAGCGCCGAGCTGCAGGGGCGCAGAGCGAGAAGGAGGAAGCTCGATGCTCGCATTAGTCGACAGCGCTAAGACAGCCCGACCCACCACCCCGCTTGAGCCTCACGCCACAGAACGCTCTGATCCCCCAGAGAGAAAAACGAGATGAAAAAGTAGAGAAAAGGGCGGAGTTGCACAACGTTGACAAGCGTGCCTTTGTCAAGTGTGAAAACGTGATACAGAAAACCCGGAGGGAGAGAGCTTCAAGACAAAACGTCCGACTGCGTGGTGTGAGGAGTGTCACCTTGCATCGCGAGCCTTTTCCTGTCGATCCCGATTCCCTCACTCAACAGAGACGCCGCCATGGGGCCAGCAAGATACATGCAAAGGCACGTCTCTCTGGGACATGTCAGAGGTGCCGCTGACCCTCCTGGCAGTGAATGGGGGGAAGGGGGCGGTGAACGAGTGACAAAGGACGAGCTCTGATCATACAGGAACCCGGCAAGGTGCTTTCGGAAACCTCACTCTGCACAGCAGCTGCCTGTCTGTGACGAAATCACCCACAAACAAAAACATTCAGTATATTAACAGCTGTCGGAAGCCCCCTCCCCCGACCCCTTTGACCGGGCTGCAGAAATGCACATGTTTGGCAGCTCGTATGCCTGGGGCATTTCCCAAAATACCCCCCCCGAGCGTCTGTCACTTCAGACCACAGCTGCAGAACCTGTCCAACCTGCCGGGACTCATAGCTACATGGTGGCTGTGCAATCAGAAGAAAAAGTGACAATCACTCTTCAAAAGAAATGTAAACTCCTGAATGTGATGAGGGCCAGCAACCTGCACAGAGAGGACAGCTCCAGTCACATCCTGCGCTGATGCTCACCACGGCAGACAGCAGTGCTCCCCCGACATGTCCAGCGCACTGATCAAGCTGCATCTACCAACTCCCGATGTGAAGAGGGGGCATGAAGATTCTGGGGCAGAGCAAAGGGGGAGAGGGTGTGGCTTGAGGGGGGGGTGCAGAACATGTAAGGAGGTGTGGTCATTGTGATGGAGAGCAGAAATGTGGGTGTGGGAATTCCAGTGCAGAGCAAAGGGGGTGTGGTCATTCTGGTAGCAGAGCAAAGGGGGTGTGGTTTGTCCAGTGGCGAGTGAAGGAGGGGGCGTGGCCATTTTGGCCAAAGGGGTCATGTGTGAGACGGAGCACATGTCCTCTCTCTACATTCACTTGTTTATATTATAAGCAGAGGTGGAAAATTCAGGTCCAGAAATTACAAATCCTGACAAAGGTTTTGTTTCAACCAACCAGTTGAGTACTTTGTGATGGTGACTCATTATGCTAAACTGGTTGGTTGAAACAAAACCTTGGTCAGGATTTGTACTTTCTGGACTTCAACTTTCCATCTGCGGTCATAAGCTTTTTTAAACCCTCACTCTAACACCCAGACCCTGTCACCTGACCCAGACCGCAGTTACAGCCCCACTGTCTCCCAAATCCCATTTTAGGGTCCATTTTCCCCCGTGCTGATGCTGGAGATGCCTGTTTTATGGTCATACTGATCCCTGGGTCACCGTCCTGCCTGGGCCAAGTAGCAGATGCTGTAACTGATTGCTTTTGATAAACGGCTGGAGAGGAGCGTCTGTCTGCCGGCCTGCAGACTTCACACGCTCCGCTGAGCGAGAGCCACGCGCCTCTCAAGTCATTAGTCGCTCTGATCAGAGAGCAAGACGGGGGGGCAGGTGCTTGCTGGTCAACTGCTCTTCAGCTTGAAGGAAGATACTGGAACGACCTCATGGCTGAACACCGCTGGGGGCCAATACCATGACATTGTGGGGACCCCCCTCCGCCAAGATGCGCTCCGTATGGGACGCTGGGATAGATGAGCCAGCCTGCTCATTTTCCAGTGATAATTGAAAGATTGCAGGTTCGAATCCCCAAACAGCAATGCACCACTGAGGTACACTGACCAAGGTACCCCCCCCCAGACACTGCTCCCCAGGTGCTGAATTAGCTGCCCCCTGCTATGTCACATTATCACAAATGGGTTAAATGCAGAGAACACATTTCGCTGTTGTGCATACACAACAGTCCGCTAACCACTTCCTATCTCTCAGTTCTTCTCCTTTGGAAATGACTTTCAAGCCCCCAACCACACACACACACACACACACACACACACGGCTGCACACGTGCCGCTCCAGATAGAAGACAGACGGTCACACTCCTCACCATTGCACCGAGGCCCGCGAGGAGGATCGCAGGTCACCTCCGTTTGGAGACTCTTAAAAAAGCACCAGGTGCCCGGGCTTGAGAGCCAGTCTAGAAGGTTCCGGTGTGGCCATCCTACCTTTTTTGCTGGTGATCTTAACGCCCACACAGGCCCCCTCCTCCGGCGTCTTCAATGGCCGCCAGGCTGTCTTGTTTTTCTCCTCTGTGGCAGAAGAGGGGGGAAAAAAAAACTTTTACCTCGGACAGCGAGAATGACCCTGGACACGACAGAGGTCCTGGTCCCGTTCGTTGTTCCTCAAATTTGTCCACAATTAAATGGGTTGATTTACAGCCCCCATAATAATTTACAGACGTGTGAAGCCTCTCTGCAGTGCACAGGATGGAGACTGAAGCGGAGTTCAAACCCACCCCCCCCCCACCAGCTGCTCAACCCCCACCAAAAAAGCTGGCATGATATTAATGAGGTGTCAGCTTAGGCTTAGCGTTAGGCTTAGCGTTAGGGTTAGGCTTAAGGTTAGGGTTAGGCTTAAGGTTAGGGTTAGGCTTAGGGTTAGAGTTAATAATGCCGTTGTCAGGCTGCAGGTTCATATTTATACACGTATGAAGTTGTCCTGTGTGTCTGTGTACAGAAGGTGTTCCTGGGGAGCTTTTAGACCCCAGGAACTGGGATATCCTGACAGTTTAATGGTATCCTCTCCGTAGCATGTCGGAGATTCTAAAAGGGGAATTTTGCAAAGTGGTTCAGTGGTTTTGCCTTAAGAAGTGAACTCAGGTGCTGCATTCTAATAAGCATACATTCAAAAAAACTGCTTTAGACAATTTTCCCAAAGAGAAGGAAAAGAAAATGTTTGGGGAAAACAGCATCCGTTCAAGGAGGGGAGGGGGGCGCTCCCCCTGGTCTCAGGACTCTCCGCCCAACAGGGCTTCAGCTACTCCTGTGGATGCCCCCCCC